CTCACGAGCTTGAAGAACAAAGTTAAACGCTACTGTGGACCAGTTCCTAAAGTTAGTATTTCGTTGTCCTTAGTTGAGTTGTAACTTTGTGATTGTTCTTATTGTATCTCCTAAACTGCTTAGCTAGAAGCGTTGATTAGGAACCCTCTTGTAAAATCCGTAAACTCTCTGAGTTTATGTTGTGACTAGGTTTAGTTATAAGTTAAAGTCTTTGTAACTAGAGAGTGACAAAGTGGCTTGTGGTGAGAGTATCACAAGTTAGTTAAAGTCTTTGTAACTAGAGAGTGACAAAGTGGCTTGTGGTGAGAGTACCACAAGTTAGTTGAGTTGAATCTTTTGTAATAGATTTATTACAAAGTGGCTTGTAATAGGTGTTTACAAGTTAGTGGAGTTGAAAGCCTACAGTGTAGGTCGTGGTTTTTGTCCCCTTGAGTTGGGATTTTTCCACGTAAAAATCATGTGTCTCATTTACTTACAGTTTTACTAGCATTATCAACATAACCTCATAGAGGACCAGGTACTCTACTGTTTGGTGGACTCATACAAACTAACAGGATGTATACTTAGCATGAATTAGACCTTTTAGGCTTTAACTTGTTTGGTATTATACACATGTGTATGACAATCTTTGTAAATCCTGCAACGTGTTTCTCCCTAACTCTTTCAACATGATTCTGCCTATGTATTGTTTTGCTAAATGATAAACCTATTTCCAAGTTTTGTTGACCTTTTGATCAATTGTTTTGTGTTTTAACTTTGTTATGTCTGCTTCCTAAAACTAAGTACATCTTTTCAAATTTTGTCCCTTAACCATTGCCTACTCTCTTCCATTTGTTACCTATGCTAATCTGAATCCTCATTCTTAGCCGGCTAAAAGCCAAGGCTATTTAGGTTCTATCCTTGACCTCCCTAGTGTGAGAACTGCTCAGGGTCCATGTGAGACCCTTGTGAACTCTAACACACTAGGATTTGGTCTCTAGTCTTCCTTGAACTGTTTCTGATCAGTTTCTCTAGTGTGAGCACTGCCTTGGGTTCTTGAAGCCCTTGGGAACTCTGACACACTAGAGATTTGGGTTCTGTATGCTTATCCTTGAAATATGGGTGAATCATTCACTACTGGTTATTGTGTATCTATGAACATGGGCTTTTGGAGTTATTGTGAGTTGAAGGCCTGGCCTGTCCAGGTGTATTTTGGCCTGCTGTAGGATCCCTATAGTTTTACTTATTTTTGTAATTCATTCACTAAATTCTAGGCTGTAATAATTATTTGTAATAACAATTCTGGGGTATTAGTAAAAATGGGAAAGGGTTCGTATTTTATACTTGTAACAAATTAAGTTGAAATCCTGCCTATAGGTTCAACAATGTGTTATTACATGTTCAGTTATCGTGTGTTAGAAATCATGCCTATAGGTATTCTATTATGTTCAGTCATTATATGTTAACAATCCTGCCTATAGGTTCAATACTTGGTTTAATTGTGTTTGAAACCATGTCTATAGGAAATTGTATATTCAATGTGTGTGCAAAACCTCAGTCACATGCTGTTATGTTTACAAATTATAGAAATCATGTCTATAAGATCTAAAAAATTGGAACAAATTATAGAAAGCATGCCTATAGGTGAAGCAACCAATTTATCATTTTTGCCCGTTTGTTCATGAGTTTTCAAACACTGCATTGTTACTCTCACTAGACAATATGCCTAGAGGATTCAACAAATGATTCTGGATCTGTTTCTATGACCTGTCACTGTCTACTATTGCATAAATCCCCTAGATATCATGCCTATAGGTTTAACCGCTTACAATGTATAATCAGTAGGCAACTACGTAGTCTTTTAGAAATCGTATTAAGAAATTGGCTTCTATATATGAAACTCCTTGTCCATTAAAATCCAAAATCACATAGAGATCATGCCTATAGGATTCAATAACTTTAATTAGTTTAAAATCAGCACTGTCTTTGTTAATCTGACTTGCGTGCATTTGTTGTCTAATTGCGGAGGTCAACTTGAGCCCTTATTTGCTTATAAATGAAAGTCCTAACTGTTTTGTCTGTCGCTTATATTTTTCCCTTTTGAGAAACCTAGGTTAAGGTCTAGAACTACCTAAATAGAGGTCTAAAGCATCCTGAAACATAGGCATGGGACGGGTAGTGCACGCATAGGGTACGGTTAAGAATCAACTAATGCGCTTTAGGTAACAACTTAAAGATAGTAATCGGATAGCAGGAGATGATAGTTTGTGCCCGCTGAATAATATGAGTAATACCCCATCTTGAAGGAGTTACGAAGTATTATTTATGTTGCACCGGGTGATCATTTAGGCNTGTTTTTCTTATTTTTGATCACATAGACTAATTCATATAATTGAGTTCAGCCGGGACCCACAGTTGTGGACCTCGATGAGTGCCTAATACCTTCTCTTCAAGGTAATTTGAGCCCTTACCCGATCTTTGGTGATGCAAACTAGTTAAATAGAGTTTTCTGCAAATAGGTGCTCTAACGCACCTTAATCCGTTAGGTGGCGACTCTCTCTTTTAAAATCCTTCCTTAAAAGAGTTGTCACGTGTCAAAATTCGATTTCGCGAGAAACAGGGGCGAGACAGAAAGAACTGAGATGATTGATGTTGTATGTTATCTCCTTGTCTGGAAAGTATGTATAAATTTCATTTTCACTTTGGTACTATTGACAGACCTGCTTTATGATATCATGCTTTATTTTATATACTATTTATGCCTCATATGCTTATTGAGTTGTTAGTAGGCGTCAGAGCCGACCTCTTGCCAATACTTCTTCGAGACTAAACTTGATGCTTATTGAGTACCATGGTTTTGTATTCATTCTATAATTCTACATATTTTTGTGCATGTTTTGAGACTAGTATTTACGGTACCAATTGAGCTGAGTAAAAGCATATCATTGCAAACTTCGAAGTGAACTGCTATGCTTAATCCAATCCACAGCACATGGAGTCCCCTTCCCTATGCATTCATATCTGTCTATGTATTATCTTCCCAGACAAAGGTTGTTTTGTTAAGATTATTTATATTTATTAGATATTTTTTATGTGGTGACACCGGATTTTGGTCGTTGTAGACGGTGGTGGTCATATTTAGACCTTATCACTTATTATGTACTTATGATACTGAATTGAGATTTATTCCGCATTTGTTATTTATATCATGAATAGTTAATTGGTTTAGTAATTGGATTCTTTTGTTGCTCTTGAATGTTGGTTTGCCTAGCCAGCGGGTTAGGTGCTATCATGGCCTTTGGTTGGATTTTGAGTTGTGACAGGAACCTTAGAACCTTTTTGAATGATATCCCAAAGTTCTAAATCTTCTCCTTTCAAAAGATTATGCACTCAAACCTAAATAACTAGAGAACTTCATCACCTTCTTCTTCGGGAACAGGTTCTTCAGTTGAGCAGCTTGAATCCTTGAATTTACCTTCTTGCTATGATTAGTATTTGCCAAAAGTAATTCTAGTGTTTCTGCGAAATAGCGGTAGTCTTAAACAGCAACAATGGGGCGCTTTATACAGGGGAGGTTGGTCGTATCCTTTTCCAATTTTAACTCCAAAACCTCTCTTAAGAAAAAAAAAATCTTAAAAGGTTTCTATTTTATTTCCTTAAGAGACTCTTTTACGCATTCTTCTTTTCAATGCAAGTATTTCCGTAATTGAAATCCTTGTTGACCACAAATTCCTTCAGCTAATATTTTCTTTGTAGCCCATGAATAAAAACTTCAAGGAATGTGACTATCAATAGGAATCGATTCTTCCAGCTCAATCTTTCGTGCACGAGGAAATAGCTTTCAACTTCTGATCAACGGACTTCAAGATACCTCATTTTTTCAGATTTGTCTATTAATCCTCAAAACCAATTAAGCTCAGCTCAATAGGGTTGCAGCACCCCGGGGACGGCAACCTACCCCAACGTAAAATTAATAGATGATTTTACGGCTCGAACTTATGACCATAGGTTACGCAGAAATAAGTACATTGTTGCTCTAAGGCTCTCTTCAAATTGGTCTTTTGGCATAAATTGATTAATCACCAATTGAACCCAATTTAAAAAATTAGTCAAATTAATAATCAAAAAATAATTGCATCACATAAATTGGGAAGAAGGAGAGATTTTTGAGTTAAGTCTTACTGCCATCCATTATTAAAAAGAATTTTAACATTAAAAAAAAAAGGAATGAAATAGCCATATGACTCTAATAGCGTAATCTTTTAGATGAAAATATCATATAATTCACATTCTCAACAAAATTAAAAGATATTAACTACAAAGTAAAAAATATTTGAAGAATTATTAAAAGAAGTTGCCTGTTTCATAACGCAGTAAACCAACTGAGAAAAAGAAGAAATGAAAATGACGTTTTCTTAAATACAAAGTGCATGTTTTAGATTCAACTTCCTAAGATGTGAATTATATATCAATCATGATTCNACTAATGTCAAATGCTTCAACTTCCTATAATTAGATGACAATTATGAACGATGTCTAGTTTTGATTAGTTCAACTAATAATGACAAATTCTTCAGCATAACTTCCTAAGATGTGAATTATGAAGTTTAATTTAAAATTATGAATTTTAATTTGAAGAGGAGGATCAATCCTTCTGGGTAACCTATGGTAGAAAAATTGTTGTTGTAAAGGGATTTTTTGGTATCACATGAAAATCCTTTTGAAATTTTTTTATATTATTGGCTATGTCTTCTTTAAGCTTTGGAATACAGTTCGGAAGAAAACATCATCATATATGAGGTGAATTTGCTCAATCATCAAAGAGTATTACCTCACCAAAGTCAACGAGTACTACTCCTTTTCTTCCATTTATTATGTTAATAGTGAGTGAGCCAGCCAATTTGATCTTTGACCATGATCTTTTTAAATTCTTACTAATAATTATACCAAAAAAATCATTTTTAGTCCCTTACTGTATTTTTTAACAATGTAAATTATATTCCAAAATAAATTAAAGAATCAATACTTGAATTCACCAAAAAATTAGATACTTCAACCCCTGCTATTCTTCTCGGGAGAAAGCAGTGCTGAACAAAATGTATCTAGAGGACAATTCACAAAAAAAGGGTCTGAATCAAGCTTTGGTTTCCTAGTTCCTACTACATACTTATGGCATTTCCTACCTAAATAGTCCTCTCCTTCCTTTAACCAATCTTTTACAAAAGCTTAAGGTATAACCAAAGTGGTGTAAACAACAACAACAATCCAGTAAAATCCCACTAATGGGGTCTGGAGAGGTAGTGTGTACGCAGACTTTTCATCTACCCCGAAGAAGTAGAGAGGCTAAAGTGGAGGAAACAAATACTACACAAAATGTTTACTCGCACTTGATAGATCGATAAATGTGACGAACAAAGAGCATGGATGAGCGGAAACCAACAGTCCCTAGCATGAGGAAGAAACCATAGCAGATGCAAGCCATGTATCCAAAGAAAAATGAGATTTGCATGAATCCAGACATGTCGGATCTCGTGTAGTAGTAGTACAAGCAATAGCTATAGATAAAGATGCTAGTTGATCCACCACAGATAAATGACCTGCACCATACCAAAAAAGCTTAATATATAGGCACATGAAATTAGATCTAAACAATGGTGGTAAATAAGTGAATTCATATTAGGAGTTTTGCTGTAAAATGAACTTCATTTGGTTGTAACTCTGGAAAGCAGTATAGGATGAAAGATTCATTTCTTTAGATTAGGATAAGCAATAGGCTAATATATTGCACTTCTGATGAACGACAAACAACAAACACAACAACAACCACCCAGTATAATCCCACAAGTGAGGTTTGGTTATGATGAACGACAACGTAGATTAATACAAACCAAAGGGAAAGAGCCACGAACATATACATCAGGATTATTAGATTATACAGACATTTGCATAACAAGTACAGTAGTCAGCAAAAACTTTTATTTAACTAAATTAAATTTCTCTTACTAGATGCAAGAAAAGGAATAAAAGACAGGTGCAACACGCTTCGGAAGAACTAAGAAAACTAGCAATCAATAAAGTAACATGGAACTATGATAAGCCAAACCAAGAATATGAAATGTAAACGAAATGAAAGAAGCGTCGAACCTCCACCACCATTTATGATCTTCTGCAGCAAGTTGGAAGTAAGTCAATGCAACAGTGATGAAAGAGGTTACTATCAGCAGAAGAATGAAAACTATAAACAATATGCTGTAGATGGTGTAGATTTTTTGACCCCATACACTTTCAAATATGTAATAGAGCTCAATGTAGATGGCACTAAATGGTAAGAAACCCGCCATTGCCATCTGAGGGACAGTACCACGGTACCAAGCGAGTAATGGGATTTCTCTTGGATATTTTGTGGTGCGGCATGGAGCTTGGAAACTAGTTCTGCTATTCTTGCCAGCAATTCCACCCAATACAAGCAGTGGCGATGTCATGAATGTCCACATAAGTACTATTACCATAATTGTGCCAAATGGTAGAGCAGCAGTTGAACTATAGCTAACTGCAACAGAATTGAGGAAGCAGAACATTAGCGCTAAAGGCCCACAGAAGAGACTCCCGGTCAAGACCAAATTCCTTACCTGTTAAGGCAAGAGTATTTACAAATATTAGCTAATCAATATTTGACTTACAACTCAATAAGACCACTTAGTTCCAGTGAAATGGCGACACCGTCATAGCATAGCAACTATGGGAATATTAGAGCACTTACCCAGTTAGTTCCTTCAAGTTGGCAATAGAAAAAGGTAGCTGTGTATCCGGCAACACCAGAAGTGAGTGCATATATAACCAGAAGGGCAGTGAATAGAGCTCCTCTATTGTAGGGATAAAACACTCCTACAAGTGCCAGCAGGAATACAAAAACTGTCCTGTATAAGAATGAAAATATAATGTTTCTTTAAGATTTAACAACATAATGCTACAGTTTCTTGTATTATACATTAAGTTGGGAGGATACTGACAGAGTAAAGAGCTGAGTGCCACAACCAAGTGCTGCAGCAAACAATGACTTGTGTTTTGGGAACCTAAAGACATCACCATGTATGTACTTCCATCCCGTCTCCTCGTGATCATTAACTGCTTCTTCATCATGTGCATACCTTTTGATGCATGACAGATTAAATGAGTTACTTCTACAGAAAATCAGCTAGATCCTTTTCTTTTCTTTTTTCCAAATGGAGTGACAACTTTCAATAAAGCCACTTACTTGATAAAGTCATTCTTAAGTACTCGCATAAGAATCGTGGCAAGGAAACCAGTTAAGAGGAGAACTATGACACAAGAATTTATGATGGAAAACCAGTGGATCTCCAAGTGATGTGGTAGAGAAGTCTGCGAGAATTTATCCATCCGATTCTCAAATAGAATGTCTGTTTGCTTCCATTTCGCAGTGTATGTAAACTCACCATCGACTTCCTTATCTTCTGTCAGGTCCAAAACAGAATGTGGATCCGTTCTTGCTGTGATCTCAATAACACGATCCTTATTATAAAGGATATCGAAATGTATGTGTTTGTACAGATAGTATTTGTAATCTTTTGGATCGTCTGTTTCTTCTCTATTCTCAACTCGTCCAATAAGACCCCATATGGGCAACTCATCATAGTACATTTCAAAGTAATAGTCTTTATCTACTGCTCTTCGGAACTGAGCTACTTCTTCCTTTGTTAGCTTCTTCCTACAAAGAATTTCCATGTCTTTCTCTACCAAGAAATCGAGAGCATAAGGACCACTCACGAGCCGATCCCCATTTAAGACTTCACCTAGAGCTTCCTTCTTCTCTTCCAATTTCACTTTATCTGCATATCAAGTACATATATATTACCAATAAGTTACAGACTTTTAATTCGGAAAAGGCCTAAAAATGCCACTCAACTAACATAAATGGCATATCTATGCCATCCGTTAAAAGGTTGCCCTATTCATGCATAGATAGGCCATTTATGTTAGTTGAGTGGCATTTTTAGGCCTTTTCCGCTTTTAATTTCCTTGGCATACCTGTGTAACATACTACTCAAACTTGAGTAACATAGGTTTAAAAATACTTTTATCAAACTTTGAAATATGTATCTTTTGCTTAGAAGAACAAGATTGGAACTATAGCCTAACCCCAACCTTTCTCCCCAACCAAAAGACAAGAGATCTAAAAACAAAATAGGCAAATAGAGAAGGAAAAAAACAAACAGAAATTCTACATTTTAAAGAAAGAAATCCACAACAAGGATTTGCAAAACTAGTGCAGCTTTCTGTTTTTGCTAAACTACATTTTACATGATTGACACATCAATTAGCCCTAGTCTGAAACTTAAATGAGTTGAATGCTTAAATTCAATTGAGCCATTCATGATAATTATCTAATCTTCTAATTCTTTACTCTCCCTTTTCAGTACTATCTTAGTTATATCTCATGAAATAAATAGTAAGACAGCAAGAAGAGAACAACCAACAAAATACAATACGTGTAAGTGTAGAATGAACCTGGTATACAAAATGGCAGATCATAATACCGGTAGGATTCGCTGTAAAATAAGAAAGCAACAAGAAAATATGAGTAATTAATTAAATATTTGTAATCTGCACTAACTACACAAAGAAAAAAGAGAATAAATTAAAGAACCCATCCATTTGAGTTTCCCAAAGCATACCTAGTGAACGCCATTTCCATACCCAGATAAAGAAGGAGAATTGCAATAAAAAATTGCTCCCCTCTTTCAATTTATATGGCGATTGAAAGAACGACTTTTGACATTTTTGGTCTTAAATATGCCAATACGGTTTTCATACCTATAAAACCTTATATTAAGGGTAGAATATATAGTTTAAAATTTATGTTTTCAAATAGAGAAAGGTAATGTAATAAAATGGACCTGAATAGAGTGGAGTAAACACAAAGTGAAGCGATCCTAACTAGTTTGGGGCAGTGACTTATTGATCAATTGACACTAAAAGCACAAAACGATGCAAGTTTACACTTCCATAGATTATAGAAAATTAAACTACAACACAAATAAGAAGAGGGTCTATCGGAAACAGTCTCCCTATTTTTTTAAAGGGGTAAGGTCTATGTACTCACTATCCTCCCTAGACCCCATTTATGGAAAGTTCGTCATCGTCGTCGTTGTTGTTGTAACACAAATAAGAGGAAACTAAATGGGTGAATATGAAGGAGATATATATGTGTACCTGGGATTGTGGAAAGGACCAACCTTATTAGCATAAAGAGGGACAGGATCCCCTCTTTTATAGCGATGATCAGAGGCATCTTGGCTGATAAAGAGGCGGTAAACTACGAAAAGTGTCACCATGCAAATGGACACAATAGCACGCACTTTCTTCATATATCCAATAATTAAAAAGAAAAAGAACAAGAAGAAGAATTTTTTGCGTAATTGATATAGAGATGAAGAGGTAAGGAAGTGAAAAAGAAAAACTAGAGATTGGACGTATGCATGATGGTTTATGGTTTGATCAGATCTCTACGCTCTATTAAGTAATGTTGTCTGAAAAATGTAGACAATACGAGTGGTAATTAACGTGTACAAATAATGAAGCATAACGTACATGATATGAGCATACCAACAAAACTAAGCCTTAGCTAGCGTTTGGCTATAGATTTCCAAATTTGTTTTGAAAAATTTGATATGAGTGAAGTTTGGTTTGAAGATGAAAATATGTTTGGACATCAGTTTTCAGAACATATTTCACTTTTTTTTTTGAAAAACCATGAAACATGACTTATACCCACAAGTTCTAAAAACTATTACAAATACCCAACAATACTTTCATCAATAACATTCATTATATTATCGCAAACCATAGTCCTGAACATAATTAAATTTGGTACAAAAATCATTTACTCCCTCTGTTTCATATTATATGAGGTAGTTTGACTCGGCACGGAGTTTAAGAAAAAAGAAGAAGACTTTTGAAACTTGTGGGCTTAAAAGCTTAAGGGGTAAAAAGTTTGTGGGGCCATAACATTTGTGTGGCTATAAAAGCTTTCATTAAGGGTAAATAGGTAAAATGAAAAAGTTTAAAGTTGAATTATTTCCAAATTTAGAAATGTGTCATTTGTTTTGGAACAGACTAAAAAGGAAAGTACCTCATTTAATATGAAACGGGGGGAGTATATAATAAACTACATAATAGACTATCAAATGACCGAAAAGACGAAGCAGCATTATTACAAAATAATAAATGGTGGGTTCTTTTTGTAAAATACAAAAGTTTGGGGCAATTTTAAAAAAAGTAATAGTAATATTTTGGGCCAAAACCAGCTCTTGGGTTTTGGATTTTGAGAATTTGCCAAAATGTGGATAAAATTTATGAACAAACATGTATTTGCCAAAAAAAAAACCAACTATATTTTGGCAAAATCTATTGCCAAACGGGTCCTAAGCGTCGACTACTTAAATTGATATCGCCCATATGGATCTATATCTTCTATTATAATCTATTTTTTGGGGAGAGATTCAAAAATAGCCAAATTTACAATTGGTCGTTCAAAAATAGCCCAATTTCAAAAGTAATCGAAATTTAGCCACTTTTCATGTAAAGATAAATCTAAGCGAAAACACTGTTCAAAACCCGAAAAATATGCCAGTATATTATACTAGAGTATCAGCATAAGTATGCTTGAACTCCAGCATATTATACTGGAGTTCCAGAATAAGTATGTTGGAACTCCAGCATAATATGATAGAGTTCCAGCATAAATACACTAGAACTCCAGCATAATATATTGGAGTTCCACCAAGTATAATTGTCCAGTATAATATACTGGAGTTTGGAGCACCGGTGCTCCAGTCTCCAGTATATTATATTGGAGTCAGCAAAGTATACCGGTCCAGCATAATATGCTGGAGTACATACACAGGTGCACCGAACTCCAGTATATGCTGGACCGGTCTCTATTGTAGCAAAATAGTGGCTATTTTTCATTGACTTCGTAAACGCTGGCTATTTTTGAATGACCAATCCGAAAACTGGTTATACCGTGCTATTTGCTATATCTTTATAAATCCTAAGAGATTGTAGATTTTTCAAAATAATTTACTTCCATGTGATTTTAGGTTATCTCATTGTAAAGGATACTGCATGCACTGAAGTTACTAGACCATAGTTAGTTGTTAGTTAATTGTAGTTACTTAGTTAGTCTTGATCAAAGTTAGACTTTTGATACCTAATTTTGCTTTCATATTTTATAAATATCATATATACTTTCAAAATATCATTTTGCATTATTACCTAATTTACAAGAGTCATATAAGTATTTTCTATGATTTTCTATAATTTTAAAAGCTTTGAAATCAATTTTGCATTTAGTAATTATCCCTTCAAATTATTTTGGGATGATTTAATACAAATATGTTATTTATACCAACATGTATGTTTATAATATATTTACTTTATTCTACTTAATTGCATTTGTTTTTGAGCTATTTATACAATTTTTGCAATAATAGCCTATATTCTGCACCTAATTATATTTATTACATTATTTATGCTAAAATAGCATTTTTTTTAATTAATCCGCCCCAAACCCTAATGCCCATTTTGCCTGAGACGCCGCCCCCAAACACTCTCTGTCCTCTTCTTCTCCTCTCAAACCCTAGTAGTCCCCTCATTTATTCTCCCTAACTCCGACTCTAATATGGAATCTCTCCGTGATTTTCCTTCCATATAAGCTCGATCTCTCCGTTATTTATGCAGTTTTTGGTATCACATAATACTTGCCTATCTTTGGCAAATACCAGGTCTTGAATCAAGCACAATCATCTCTAGGTCTTCAAGATTTGGACGGATTTTCGTGGATATGCATTATAGCAAGGTTATATGGGTCCAGTTTAGTGAGATTCTTCGACTATTTTATTCTCCATTTGAAACTAGGGTTTACCCGATTTTCTCCTAAATTGATTTTGAACTGATTTTTGCATGTTTCCTTTTCCTTATTTACATTTGATTGATTATATTTCCTTGTTTGATTGTTCAATATTTTATTACTATATAAATCCCTTCCCCGTTCCCTTTCTAAAAAAAAAAGAAGAAAAAAACAACTACCACTTGACTACTATTACTATCACTATCACTCTCTCACTCAATCACTCACTTTATTCTGAAAATTTTGATTCTTGGCCTGCTGAAAGCCAAAGCCACCAGAGTTTGTTTTACCGGCTTTCCTAGTGCGACCATTTGCTCAGGACTCATCTGAAGCCCTTGTGAACCTTGATACACCGGGTTTGGGGTTCTACTACTCTCTTCTACTATTGATTATTGGAGTGATACTAAGATTATTCTTCTTGTTATTGTTCGTTAATCTGTAACTAGTAAGTACCTTTGGCCCTTGCAATTTTATTCTTTTTTTGTTTGAGTTCCTTCTTTGTATATCTATGTTCCTGAAACTTTTGTGAATCAACATGCTATTATTTGCATCCCTATCTGCTCTCAAGTTATTCTTGAGGTTCTATACTTCTCTAGTATCTGAACTTGCCTGATTTTTTACCTTGATTCTGGCTTTCTTAAGTATTTTTACCCTAGTGTGTGTGTGTGTTTGAATGCTTATTGCTACTGCTTATTCTGAGTTTATCTCTTTGCCCTGTTCTGGATTCTTGTAATAAACTAATTCATGTCCAGAATGTGTTTTAATTCCTGTTGAATCATTCAAGTATAACTTAATTTTTCTTAGAGTTAATTATTGATCATGTTATTAGCCAAAAATATTTTTTTTTTCGCTGCTAGCAAATTCTAATGTGTGTTCCCTACCTTGTTTAATTTTGTGTTCTTCAATCTGCCTAAGAATTCTAGTATAAGATTCAATACCTTACCTCTTCTTCCATACGTAGTCAAACCCTAGTGCATGACAGTTCTGCTAACCTGAATTTGATATATTTTTGTCTATTATGAGTTCAGATGTTGTTTAGATCTTGGTGTTACGATTGATAATGTTAAAATTTCTCATTAAGTGAATTGTTACATCTTTATCAGCCTATTTGTTATGTTATTTGTGATCATACTTGCACTAGATTTTCATGCTAGGAATTTCCATGTGAAAACTACTATTTCATTCGCCTCTATCTAAGATTCTGCAAGGTTCTACGGTTAAAATCTTATGTTTAAAAGTTATTTAAGCTGATCCTGGATCATATTTCATTTTGAAACCTTACTTGGGACTGTTTGTTAGTTTGTGATGTTCCACCCTATCAATTTGAACTTATTCCTAAAACGTAGTATGAGGCCATCTTATGTATATAACTCCCTGTGATCTTGTCTATATGCTTTTGGCTTAAACTATTGTTAGTTGCAGTCCTAAGAACTAATTGTGTGAACCTCAAAGGTTGTTTAATTGATTTGGCGTGTAGTTTGTTGCATGTATGGTTAAGTTTGACATCTAATTGGGGAGGTAAGTCATTCGTTTGGGCCTGGTGTTTGGCCATATATGCTATTAGATTTGGGCGTTGGATTCAGGCACATTCTATTGTTCTTATAAACCTGGGATTTGGGGTCCGCTGGTCGTGCAAAAAGAAAGGCTATTGAAGGCCCAGAAACATGCACTGGGTTATTTCGTGTTGGGCATGTCACTGTTCTACTAGGCCTATAGTCGTTTCATTTTGTAACTATTCATATTTGAGTTTGTAATGTTATATTTGGGCCTGTAATAACTTGTAATAACTAATAATGGAAAATTAGTAAAAAGGGGGCTAGGGTATACTCTATTTTGCATAAAAGGGTAGAAAACATGCCTATAAGGCCTATGTGCTTTATTTGCTATTTCATTTAGCGTGCTTTGTTTCTATGCACAAATAGAAATCATGCCTATAAGAAATCACACACTTCACTTAACTTGTCTAATTACTTGTACACTATTCAAAGCATGCTAGCTTAAGTAATGCTACACCTGTTTTCATGTCTATTACTGTACGCTCTTAGGCAGCATGAAGTATAAATGTCATGTAATGCTTGAGACATTGTTTTGAGCAATATAATCAAATCTTGGCTTCTAAAGCAAATGTGATTTTAAAACTACATTGATACTACAAAAAAGCTCTATATTACCAGTACAATATAACTTAAATTCAAGTAAGTATTATTCGACAATCTTAACTTGGATACCTTGTTTCCTTTTTAACTAGTATTAGCATCCGCGCGGATGCGCAGACACTAACCATGTCAAATATTTGAGTTATTTGGATTATATGTAAATAATCTTAAATTTTAAACCTTCTAGATAAATATAGATAATCATTGAATATTAATTAAGAAGCACTACATGAAAAAAATTAATCATTTCTCAAATCTCCTAGTTATAATTATACTTTTCTTTTTTGGTACGATTCTCGCCGGTGTCGTAGGATCCTAAAAATAGTCGGGAAACAAAATAATAACTCATATTTATGGCAAAACAATTAAAGGTTGAGACTATGAAGGGCTCTTTGGATACGACTTGACTCTTTTACTACTACTTGAACTCTTATTTGGTGTGTTGATATCTTTCAAAAAATATTTCTATTTTAAAATTTCAGTTTCTAAAACTTTATTTTTTAATAATAACTATTTTTATAATAATGTAAGTAAAAATATTATCCTTAATTCAAAACTCATTTTAGTCGGCTATCTAAATATTAAAAAAAAAAACCTTTAGCCAGTGATTTTTTTTACGGTATGACTCCATTTTGATTTTTGATATTAATCATATTAGATATATGAGTTATTTGAATTATATATAAATAACCTTAAAATTTAAACCGTCTAGATAATTATAGATAATCGTTAGATATTAATTAAGAAGCACTACACGAAAAACGGCTAATATTTTTCTCAAATCTCGTAGTGATAATTTTATTCTTGCACCATTCTCATTGGTGTCATTGGAACCTAAAAATAACCACAAAGTGAAATAATAACTCGTATTTATGGCAAAGCACAAAGGTTGACACAATATGAACGATNATTAAAAACGAATATCCCTCTTGTTGAATTCGAGAAAAAAAAACCTTTCACATAATCTAGTGAATCAAAACTAATATTCTACAACGAAAAAAATATTATACCCTTGCAATGTTGGATTTACTGTAGCTAGATAAAGAGGTTTCAACTTATACCCTTCAATTCCTAGAAGGTGCTAAATTGAAATCACTGATAGCAATTGTACAACTAAGGTTTTGTTATTTGTTTGATGTTCGTTTACACAAATTGACTCTTCAAACAAACATTCTTCAAAACGAAAAAAATAACTTTTTTTTTTTGAATATTGACAGATTTTTGTAATGTCTGTTTCTCTAGCATGTATGTGTACTTCATTATATATGTAAATAAACTTTTATTCAATTTTTAAACTTTTTTTTGTTATCTGGATAAACATAGATGTGTCATATATATTACATTTATTTTAAAAGTAATTCGCTTTATTCAAATCTAGGTATAGTGTTTTACATAATTATATTTTAGGGTTTTAAATGTGAAAGAATTTTATAGTTATATGCATTAGTTTTTTTTCTTTTTCTTTTTTGCCAGAGACGAAGTAGTATTCAAATAATTAGAAAAGATAACAAAAGTTCCTAACATGATTTCACAGGATTATTAATTGAATTAAGTCTGATAACATGATAACAAAAGATAATTTTTTTTTAATTTTAATTCAAATTTTAAAAGTTTATCTATAAATTTAAAATTATTCTTTAATTCAAAACTAATATTTTCTCAAATCGCGTAGTGTAAATTTTATTTTTGCACCATTTTTATTGGTGTAATTGGAACCTAAAAATAGCCATAAAGTGAAATAATAACTCGTATTTATGGCAAAGCACAAAGGTTGACACAATATGAACGATTCTTTGGTTACGACGCGATTCTTTTACTATGACTTGAGCTCTTATTTGGTATGTTGTTATCTTTTAAAAAAATATTTCAATCTTGAAATTTTAATTTCTAAAACTTAATATATAAAATATAATGATGCAAGTGAAGATATTATCCTTAATTTAAAATTTATTTTAATCGGCTATATAAAAATTTAAATGATTCTTTAGCCGGTGAAACTGTATTTGAATATGACTCCATTTTGAGTTTGTCGATATCTCTAGCCACATATTTTAAATTTTGAATACCCTATATATACAGCTTTTTTGGTTCATCAAATCATTAAATGTTGAATTAGTTGATTGTTATTATATAACATTGCATATATTGTCTTAAAATTGCCAAGTAATTTTTTCTCGATACTATACTTAGCTTAACTTCGATAGAAACTACTCAAATCGCATTTAAATTCAAATTCGAATACATAGCAGTTTGTTAGTAATAGTGATTTTCTTAAAAATAGCACACAATGTAAATTAAAAAAACTTCTAAAATGTCCTTATCTTATAATATATGTATTTTAGTTGAAAAAAATATTTGAAATCGATGAGATCAACTTCCAAAATTTTTATACTCAATAAAGATGAAATAGAAGAAGAAATGTGTTGTCATCTCTTATTTCTGATTTTTAGATTTTTCATATATATTTTTCAATATTTATTTTTGTTTTATCTTATTTTTTATTTCTTTCTTTCTTTCTTTTGTTACAAAAACTTAATTTAATCACAATAAAAGGATGAGTTTTCATTGAAATATTCTACATAAGAACTTTATTTATATTTTTATTTCTTGGTTGAAATTCTTTCATATTTTTCTTTTGGCTTTATCTAATTAACCTAAATAGGTACTCACCCAATCACTTAAATTAAAATATTGAATGATGTGTAATTTATACATAATTTATATATAATATGAGTATAATCATGTGTGTCGGCATATTATCTATGTATATTAGCTATAAAAAGTAAACAATTAATTTGGCCGGATATTTATGTAAATATTCCATAAGATTTTGGTTTCTTGATTTTATCCATAATATGACTTCTATTATAATAATTTTAAAAACTCTCTACTAAAATTCAAAAATATCTTATCTTTTTATTTTTAAAATTACATTATATTTTAAAAAATAATCTAATTTTGAAATAATTTGTTTATATTTTTTATTTAAAAAAACCAAGTCATACCAATTTTTTTAATAAAAAAATATACTTCTTGTTACACTTGAAAATTGCTATAGAAACTATTCAATAAGAAACCAATATCCTCTTGTTGAATTCGAGAAAAAAAAAACCTTCACATAATCTACTGATTCAAAACTAATATTCTTCAACGAAAAAATAGTATACCCTTGCAGTGTTGGCTTGCTTATACCCTTCAATTTTTAGAAGGTGCTAAATTCAAATTAATAATAGCAATTGTATAGCCAAAGTTTTGTTATTTGTTTGATGTCCATTTATACAAATCGACTCTTCAAATAAACATTCTTCAAAAAGAAAGAAAAAATAACTGTTTTTGAATATTGACGGAGTTTTGTGATGTTTCTTTCTTTAGCATGTAGGTTTACTTCATTATATATGTAAGTAAATTTTTATTCGATTTTTAAACTCTTTTTGTTTATCTGGATAAACATAGACGTGTGCTCTATATATTACATTTATTTTAAAAGAAATTTGCTTTATTCTATCTAGCTATAGTGTTTTAAAGTATAATTTTATAATTTTAAATGTGAAAGGATTTTATAGTTATATGCAATAGTTTTTTTTTTTTTTTTAAACAGAGACGGAGTAGTATTTAAATAATTAGAAAAGATAACAAAAGTTCATAACATGATTGTATATGATCGTTAANAAAGATGTTCAGAGGTTGTATTTACAAAACATGTACACATCACAAATTCACATAAAATACAAAGTTTAGCGCCATATAATACAACGTTTTGCGCTACTGTACTTCGGAAATCCACTACAAATTGACACGATTTCCACCAATAATAAGTAGAGATTATCTAGCAGTAGCAGCGGCAGCACCTTCTTTAAAGAGGATATTTGCAACATTTGGCCGAAGCCACGCCGACTTGCCACCAACTTCACCATCTTGAGTACGACCATCACCGGAGGTCTGGTGATTCTTCGGGTCCTTCTTCAGCTTAGATTTAATACATTTTCCTACAGATACACCAAGCTTTACTGCTGTAAATAGGCTAAACGCAATAGAAAGTGGTCGAATAGCCCAGTGAAAATCCTCAAGGTGCTGATACTTTTCAACAATGCCAGGACATGTATCAAAAGACACTTGAATCACCTCATCTGGATCAGCCAAGAAAGTATTAGGTTCATCACCAAACACCATCCTTCCTGGAAATTGAACAAGAAGACAACCATTGGGAAATATCTGCGATATTCTCCCACTAGCCCATCCCCCTCCCCTTTTCTGAGGCCATTCGAACCGGGGAGTTTCAACATTTGATTTCAATTGCACAAACTGTCCCAAAAAATATGGGACCACCTTTTGGACTTCAGAAGAATGTCCTGTCCATAAAGTTTCTAAGCCTAAAAAACCAACACTTACATTTCCATCACGCTGCACAGAGTGCAGGACACCCAAAGAAGAGTGTTGCTTATTTTCATTGACCAAACGCACCCAATCCCCAGCTGCCAAACCACAAGTAACTCTCTCTATGGTTGATGTATTTACTCTCAGAGGGCTTGGCAAATTGGGGACTCGTACCAGAACAAATCCATCTCGATCTGTATCTTTCTCCAGACCAACAACACTTCCTTCCAACACAGCCAAATCTTGAGACTTTCCAGAGTTCAACAATTTTCTCGAGCGAATAGTATCTCCCACTTGAAGAAGATCTTTCGAAAGGTACCATGTGGTAAAGCCACGCGTTTTGGTTTTGTCAACAGACAGAGTCCCTCCTATGTCGCTCCACTCTCCTTCACTATAAACAGCATTCTGCGAGCTGCCAATTGAGGTGCAATTAGATTTCTGTGAACTTTACATCACCGTACAAAGAAAACATATTCATCTATTCTTCCACTAGGCATTGTGTTAGGAATCAATAATCATGTCGAAATAAGATAGAAGAGAAATATTCGAATTAAACTTTTTGTTATGGAGAACAACACTGATTGGCTAAAGCTAACGAAGTAGTAAAATTGAAAGGATTATGACACTCAATAGGTATCTAAGACTGCAAACTAAGGAATACGGCAGCTGGGGGAGAAACAAGAAGGGGGAGGGAGGTGGTGGAGAGAGAGACCTTTCAAATGTTTGCAAAATGTCCACCATCAGAGGCCGATTGCGGAGATCATACTCAAAACAGCCATTGAGAACATTCGCAATTGCAGTGGGGAGGCCACCAGGAAGTTGTGGCTTTTCTTGGTTTATCACCACTGAACGATATATATCTTGGACTGATTTACCAAACCAGGGCTGAACACCAGTCAACATCTCAATAATGCTGCATCCAAATCCCCAAGCATCAGTCTCGCAAGTTATTGGGCCTCTAACATCAGGCTCCCACTGTTCCGGAGCCATGTAGTTTGGAGTTCCAAGCCTTAATGCTAGATCTGAATCAGGTGGTTGAACTCCAAGAAGAAGATACGGAATCCCAAAGTCTCCAAGGAACACTTCGTCATGTTCATTCAGAAGAAAATTAGTTGCCTTAAGGTTCAGAACCAAGACATTCATTGAATGCAACTCTTGTATTCCTTTAGCCAATTCAATACCATATCTGTAAGCAATTAGCACTCTGTATTAGCAAGAGCCATGTTTCATAATGAAAAAATTTACCTTCCTAATAATTGTTCAAGTCAACGACCTAAGAACATCAGGTAACTGAAGCTTCCCTCCTTTCAGCCGAGCCATTTTATCACCAATTGACCCCTCATACGATCTCATAGCTATACAGATCTATCCACAGAAACAATATTCAGAGAGTTAATACAATAAACCAATTCTAAGGTCCCATATAGACCTAACAGAAATGATGCAGATAGACTTTCACCTTTCCAGATATTATAGAGATGCCATGCAACCAGCAAACACCTTGGAGTTGTTTAGATTTCAAATTTACCCATAACTCCTCTAACTTACTTAAGAAGGCCTTTACTTGATCCTCATTTATAGGATGTAACATCTTTATAGCTACTTCATGATTCTCATCATAATCAGTAGCTGACTGATGATGTGTGGCTGACCAAACATCACCGAAGTATCCACGCCCAATCCTGTGTCTAAGTTTGATTGATGCAGGATCAATATAAGGACCAGGTGGGGTAGGTGCAGCAACAACAGTTCTAAGATGATCAGGATCTCCGTCATAAAGCTCATAATCGAAAGAAGTTGCCAAAGGAGATACTTTGATATCTTTAGCCATTTTCCCAGCTAAGAGGGTAAAGACAAAAAACAGAAAAAAGAGCATGAGATGAAAAACGACAACTTGCACTGCATGTTATAGAAACTTCCACCAGTACATAAAATCAGACAAGTCACAACTGAAATATTCAATTTCTCAAGCAATATTTTTAAGAAAATGGAAATTGTGAATTTCTTGAAGGAAGAACAGTTTAACCTCAACCTCTGATGCTCCTCAAAAGTTAAGTGAAGTTCTATAATTTCAACATAGATTTAGGATCCTGGTATCTTTGTTATTGACTTATCTAAGCATATCAGAATAGCAGGGATGTCAAAAAGAATCTTGATGTGACTAGAAAGCTTCTGTAATAAAGCTTTTACAGATGACTTCAATGGTGAAAATAGACAACAAATAATAGTTTCAATTTAAGATTAGACTTATGCTCTACAGATGTAGTAAAGAGAGCTAATAGTGGAATATTTCTTCCATAAACCATTTGTAAATGCAAAGTTCTAATTGCCCATCGTCTTCAATGCTCCTGCCATAATGTCCTTGAGGACAGGTTATACGAAGATTTTGGAGGTCAAATCCCAAAAGTTTTTCCAGTCACTCTTTTGCTGATACAATGGAAGCCATGCACTCTAATCTAATTTGTGGATCCAGATAAAACTAATTTCCTAAAAACCTGCTTTTTTTATTTAACCCCATAATTGTAGTTTAGGTATTTGTATAAACCGGTTCAGGTTTTTGACAAAGTAGTTGGGTTATCAAAGTAGTTGTCCATGCTTGCCACCATAAACTACTAGAAAACAATGCACACAAAGAAGGAAAATAAAATCAGGTTACCATAAAGGTACGCTTTAGGAAATTTCTTAAGTTCCCATCTTAAATTGTTGCCTAGCAACTAAATAAACATGTAACTGCAAAGAGTATAAAATTGGAGGACCTCTCAAGTACTTAAGTAGATGCACTCAACACATTACCCAGCTAAACATGCCTAGTCACTAAATCTATCAACCAAAAAGGATGTTATTCCATGAATCAGTGAAGCAAACTCAAAGTCGCCATCATGTGGGGGTCTCGACACGACACAAGACGCCCATGTGATTTTGTAGGGATCCTATAGAGATAAATAGAAACTCCATTGAAAAGTGAAAAAGAAGAAATTATTATTTTTGATAAGATAAGATTTTATTAATACTCAGTATCAAGAAGAAAAGAGCAGTTGAGCTAGACGAGGGATAATAGTTGAACTACCAAACATATCCTCTGTCAAAACCGTGCCATCTAAAAAGTATGTACACTCGCAAAGAGCTAAAAAACAACAAGAACTTAAATCAGACTTATGTTTTCCTGAAATTATGTCTTATCCTCTAGCTCGATAGAGAATTGTTTTCTGTAAACCGAAAATTAAGAAATGCAGCAGAGTTTTTTGAGCTCTTTTGGCTAGCTAAAATGTGTCAATATAATGTCGACCATCCAAAACCGAAAATTGCTTACTGCTCGCCTCACTCTCTACTCCCACTTTCCAAATGCACCAAACAGAGGGCAGAGTTTAAACCTCCTCCAATC